GTGAGACATGTGAAAAACTGGTATTCCAAACAAGATGTCATGTCACATTAAGTGTGATTGAAATGATTTGCTTGATGGTCACGGAAGGCTTTTTTTCATCAGTCGGAGAAAATCCATCTAAGCATTAATAGGAGCTTTACATGGTGCATCACACAAGAAGGGAGACCAGTATTCTCACAGCCCTGCCGCAAGCATACTATAACCAAACTAAATCTGAAGAGTTAGCACAAGTAGATGAATTAGTCTGTGTTTTCCCTCCACATATGATGTACTCACAGATGCTTTAGGGTCTGGAAAGTGCTCTAAACAAAATACAGACTCTGAGAGGAAGTATAAAAATGTTCCTTATTTGTAGTATCAGTGTAAATTTGGGAACACAGATCTGTGAATCTGATTGTATGCGGAGCCATTATGATATCAGTTTGTAAGTTAAAGAACGTCTCCCTGACTGTCCTGCGGTTTTACCTTTTTGATGTGCCCGTATATCTGCAGCTCATTTTGTAACTGTGTATCTCAGATTTCTGCTGTAACCTCACGGAGAACTTGCATTTTTGTATATTTGTTGATGTGTCAACAAGACATCTGAGCAATGTACGGCAGAAAACATGCGCACTCACACGCACACACACACACACACACACACACACTGGACAAGCAGTGGGTCCTTGGTTCCCCTCATGGCTTGTGTATGTTCAGCAGATTCCACAGATTTCAGACCCGCGTGGAGATTCTTCTGCCCTCCTGTCCTCTCCGGACACAAACCCCCCTCTGTTGTCCCTGCCAGAGCCTCCCTCACCCTCTCTCTCCCTGCGCAGGGATGCCTAATGGCAGCCACAGCACCCGATGAGTTTCTTGATAATTCAAAAAGTAAATCATCTTGTTATTTCTTTTGTGTTGAGCACCAGACTTTATGCAAGACTCTGCCATCACACAGCTAGAATACATGACGGGAAGCTCAGTTAGTTAATTCCAGCCTTTGCCAAAAGAAAACACAAAAAAAACAGCACTTCTTTGTTTAGTCTGTGCTTCTGTTTGCATAAAGTAACCATACAAGAAGGTGGTTTTACCTGAAGTTTGGAGGTAACACTTGAAAAGCTGAAGAGCGAGCAATCATAGGCGACCATTTGTGTATAATCAGTTACCAGCAGGATGAAACGGCGACTGCAGAACTCATATCAGGAGCACATCTGATCAGTGGGACAAATGTTCAGCACACACTCCTGATGCTCAGCAGGCTCTTGACAGGGATAGACACGAAGGTGGCCAATCTGCATCAGTGATGAGAGCAGACTGCTGTCGGCAAAACTGCCTTAATATTGAATGTTTTATATGTTTTGTTGCCGTGACAGCAGCATGTCTCAAGGGATGACAGTGATGGTCTGTCAGTCAGTCTATGTTTTTGGTTATTCAGTCAGAGATATCGGAATATCGCCCACTTGCTGAAAAGAACAACATCTATTAAGCGTTGCCCTTAATATTTGTGCTCTCTTGCTCTCTCGTATGTTTTTGTCCCTGGGGGGCCACCGTACAGACCAGGGGTGTCCAAACTACCGCCCGCGGGCCAACTGCGGCACGCGGTCCAGTTTTTATTGGCCCGCAGCAAATTCTGAAAATATAATTGAATATGGCCCGCACAAGAAGCTTGAGCTCAACTCTGTTGCACTTCTCAGTTTCAACACTAGATGGAGCCAGCCACGGAAACGGTGCTTCTCCACTAAACAAAATTAAGCAAAGAAAAACTTTTACCGCGAGTCACCAGAAATGGCGGCACCGAAGAAACGCAAAATAGCAAGTGAGTGTAGAAGATTTCAAACACGGTGGGAAAATGAATATTTCTTCAAAGAAATCAACGGAAAGTGTGTCTGTTTGATTTGCAATGAAGATGTTGCTGTGATGAAAGAGTATAATGTCCGTCGGCACTATGAGACCAAACATCAGAGCTACACATTGTACACCGGTGCCGAACGAATACAGAAAGTCAAGTAAATGGCAGCTAGCCTGCAAGCTCAACAACAGTTTTTTTTCGTGCTAACAAAATACAGGAAAACGCCACAACAGCAAGCTATGAAGTCGCTAAACTTATTGCCCAGCACGGCAAACCGTTCTCAGACGGTGATTTCATAAAGCAGTGCCTCATGAAAGTCACAGAAATAATGTGCCCGGAAACAGTGCAGGATTTCAACAACGTGAGCTTATCCAGAAATACAGTGGTGCGGAGAATCGAGGACTTGTCAGCTAACTTGAAACTTCAGCTGACAGACAAAGCTTGTGCTTTTGATTTTTACTCGATAGCATGCGATGAGAGCACAGATGCCACAGACACCGCGCAGCTGTTAATTTTTTTGCGGGGACTAGATGATAATTTTTGCTGTACAGAGGAGCTGCTTGATATGATGAGCCTAAAAGGCACAACGACGGGTAGAGATATTTTTGAAGCTGTGTCAGAGGCAGTTGAAAAGATGGAGCTTAAATGGGACAAGCTCTGTGGAGTAACAACGGATGGAGCTCCGGCCATGACGGGCGAGCGCAAAGGAATGGCATCGATGGTGTGCGCCAAGGTAAAAGAGAGCAGAGGTGAGGCTGTTAGGATGCACTGTATAATCCACCAAGAAGCACTGTGTGCCAAGACTGTCCAGCTGGGCGATGTGATGAACACTGTTGTAAAAACTGTCAACATAATTTGAGGTAGAGGACTGTACCACAGAGAATTTCAAGCTTTCCTATCTGATGTGGATGCTGAATACGGGGATGTACTCTACCACTCTGATGTGCGCTGGCTCAGCCGCGGCTCTGTGCTGCAGCGGTTTTATTCGCTGAGGTCAGAAATCGACCAGTTTTTGAAAGAGAAGGGCCGACCTCTTCATGAACTGAGTGATCCTCTGTGGCTGGCAGACCTGGCATTTTTAGTTGATCTTACTCATCATCTGAATACACTGAACAAGAACCTACAAGGCAAAGAACAGCTGGTGCCACACCTGTATGCGCACATGAAAGCCTTCTGTGTAAAGCTCCGCCTGTTTGAGACACAACTACGAAGCTTTAATGCTGCACACTTCCCTGCGCTGTCTGAAATCAAGTCTGCTTTTCCAAAGGCCGACCTTTCTGCTAAAAAGGAGAAATATGTGTCTGTGATTGCATCTCTCGTGACAGAATTCAACCAGCGTTTCCAAGATTTTTCTGTCATTGAAAAACAAATCAAGCTGTTCTTGACCCCCTTCCTGGTGGATGCAGAAGAAGTGGAAGAGAGTCTGCAGTTAGAACTGATTGAAATGCAATGTGATGATTCTCTGAAGAGTCAACATCAGCTTCTCTCCCTCCCTGACTTCTATCAGAGTTTGGATAATGCCAAGTTTCCTCTGATGAGACGCCACGCAAAAAGAATGATGAGCCTGTTCGGCTCAACATACATATGTGAACAAACATTTTCTCTGTTAAATCAGAACAAAAGCAGACTGAGAACCAGAATGACTGATAGCCATCTCTGTGAAGTCCTTCGTGTCTCAACCACCAAACTTTCTCCTGACATGTCAGCCATCCTTCAATCCAAAGGACGGCATCACTGCTCCCACTGAGTGCAATGTTCTTCACATTATAGGTGAATTAGAAATACACACAGTATTCATTTGCCAATATGTCACCTCTAGTGTGTGGCCCGGCCCTTTGTTTATTTTTCTGTATTTGGCCCTCACTAAAAAAACTTTGGACACCCCTGGTCTACACTGATAAACTGATGTGATGTGTGCAGTCTGCTGCTGTCACAACAGATGATTTTTATTTATTCTAATTCTGCTTTTATAAAAGCTTGAACTGGAAACAATATTAATGATGATAATAATATATCTTCTTCTCAACAAAACATGCTTGTGCTTCCCATCTGCTGTTCCTGGAAATGGGACCAAAGATCAAAAGTGAAAAGTCTTTTTTTATTTTCCAGGTGATTTACTGAGAAAAATAGAGAAGTTCATTCTTGGCAGAGATGGGAGGAGTGGAGTGGGTGGAGCGTTAGCTCAGAACAATTGGCTTGCATAATACTGTGAAGTGAAAATCACTCATTGCTAGTGTGAGGTTGTGTATGAGAGAAAATGTTGATTCAGACGGCCTCAGTTATTATAATGTCCACCCTTAATTTATGTCCAGTCATGTTTTTAATCAATTAGCCTCCTGCCTGTATTTTCTGTAGAAAGTGAGTCATTCGCTTTGACTTATTTGTAGAGGTTGTCCATTGAGGGTGGGAGCACACAGCTGATCTGATGTGGAGGGAGCGTCAGGTCGGATTCGGTCACTCTGACAAAGCTTATCCTGACCAGTGAAGTCTCCTGTGCTCTCCTGTATGCCACTCCGTACACTGTGCTTTGACCTCTTCGAAGACAAAGCCATTAAAGCTCCCTCTGCTAAATAAAGAAACTGCTTCATCCATACAGCGGAAGGGAGGTTCTGGGATCGAGATTGAGTTTTTTCCTGGATGACAATACAGCTCTAACTCTTCCTGCCATCCCAGAGCGGGACTGGACGGGACAGGGCGAGGGGAGGTGGTCAGAGGTCAACGCCCAGCTTCCATTGTGCTTCTCAGAGCCTGGAACGGCCAGGGCTGCGGACCACACCGGAACTGGTCCCTTCCTCTAAAGCCCCCATCTGCCCCCCTACCCAAATTCTCCACAAACCTTCCCAGCAGACCTCCAATCACATGCCTCCAAGACCCTCTTCCTTCCTGGCGAGCAGCTGGAGTCACGTGGAGTCAAACAGCAGCTCCAGTTTACTCATGATCGTTAAAAACACACTGCACAACACATCAGCATGCAGCAGCCACCTGCATGTTCAACCTCGGCTTCATATTTATGGTTAACGATTCACTGGAGCTGTCCGTTATCTTTGTGCCTCTCGTTCTTCCTGAACAGACACCCATGGTGGAGGTATTTTTAAAAGCTAATGTTTTAATGTTTCTTGAATGCCACATACTGTGTATTAACAAAACCCCTGTTTTCTTCTGTGGTTTCTTTCAGGAGGTGTGTACTGAGCCGCGGCCACGTCTGTGTGTGATCCAGCGAGGGTCTAACGGATATGGCTTCAACCTGCACAGCGAGCGCGCGCGGCCGGGCCAGTACATCAGAGCTGTGGATGAGGACTCTCCAGCAGAGAGGGCAGGCCTGCTGGCCAAGGACAGGATAGTTCAGGTACTTTAATGGGGTCAATGCTGGAGAACTGTGAGAGCATGCTGGGATGTAAGTCAGTATGGTGTGTGAAGAGGGATATTTTGGAACATTATTATTGTTTTGGTAAGATGATTTTCTAGTCTAGAAGTCCTTTCACATTTTTGTATGTCCGTAGTATTTCTATGAATCCTGAACAGTTTTCAGGAAGTTTCCTTTTGATTTACTGACTTTGCTTCAACACCTGCCCTAAATAGTTACAGAGTACAGTTACAGTTACAGAGTAATCTTTATGAGAAGTTACTGATTACAGTTCTTAGAGTTACCCAAAAATATCCATGCAAATAGTGTATCCTGATTGGTCTGCCACACTTCCGCTCTAGACAGACTGTAGTAACTTTTTTCATTGGGATAAAAATAGAGAAGAATGGTGTGGCGTGTAATCAGGCCTCACCTACCACTAAAGAATGATGTGGAAAGTCTGTTAAAACAAAAGAATGATTCCTGTAATCTAGTACTAGATTTCATAGAGTATGGCATGATAAAATAACCACAGCTTTTCCACCTTGAATTGATTAAAAAATAGTCACAAATGCCATAAATTCTTCTTTCTTTTTTTTTTTAAGTGCGACTCTTGCATCCCACTTTGTAGGCATGGTCTCGTAGCTGCACCGATGTCATCCTTATCTGTACCTCGAAATTATTATAGTAAAACATTTTCTACTCTAGATGTAACAAAGGGCAAGTTTGAGAACCTGGTTATATAAAAATGTTGTATATTGATACAAAAAATGAATCTGAGTAATCCACATCCACAGGTCTGGTCAATACTGTACTCAGAAGTGATCGGGTCTTTTCCCAGAGTTAACTGTGTGTTCAGAGGAATGCGATGTGGACTAACAGCCGCTGTGTGGGGTCTTAAATCCCCCAAGGGGACTTGGTTGTAACTGTCACTTTAAGCAGCCTCACACTGGAGCAATCAGCTTCTTAACTGGTCTGAGGTCTGCCCTGACTGCATCATTATAGTGTGGACTGGCCTAAAGAGAGACATGTGTGCGTAAGGGAGTCCAATTTGCATACATTGCATGTAAAAAATAAAAATCTCATATTACAATGTGAAATATTGAAAAATTTCCAAATTACTTCCAAATGACTAGTTAATTCTGGATGCTGTGTGGCTGCTCAAAATGAACTAATTAACATATTGTTTTCTAAGTTAGTCAGTAAAATATTTGATAAAAGTTTAAACTATAACACTGTTCACAATGTTTCAGCAAGACTTTATGTGTGACAGTCACTTTTTTTGTCAGTTTTTAGTCTTTTTTATTTACTTTCCTTGCAGTCCACAGATTTGACAACCACAAGGCCATGTGGTTACGATATATACAACCAATGATCTTCCCCACTGTTATTTAGCCAGTAGAAGCAGAAACAACTCACAATGAACGTCTCTGACTCACTCAGTGCAGTGGTTTTTTCAACACGTGGTCAAACTCAAACCAGAGTGGCGGCATGTCTACTGATGTGGACCATCATGCACGCCTCTTTTCGCTCTCTAACTGAATGTCATTTTTGCCTCCCAGCACGTGAGTGTGAGCGACTGTACGGAAAATATGAGAAGTAGAGAAAAACGAAGAGGAAGAATCAGAGCAGGATGAGGACAGAGAGTGCAGAGGGATTAAACGAACCACAGACTTTCAGGTCTGGGTTAGAGTCTTGCGAGGGGTTTCTAGTCCCCAACAGGGCCCCAGACGGACACACCACCCACTGGGGAGCAGGGCTTTGTGGGGAGTGGACAGCCATTGTTACTGCCGTTACTGGCCAAGCAGCTATTGTCCAGCTTCCTCTGTGGGACTGGCTTAGACATGCCGGTCCACCCTATGACCTAAACGCACACACACACATACACCCTTAGAGACATTTCTCACATGCTTTCCCATGGTGATTTTATCCCACAGCGCTCAGCTGGTCTGGAAGGGAACCACCTGACATATTGAGTTACTGTAGTCCACAAAGTACAGCTGTCATAGTGTCACACAGTGAAGGGCCAAGTAAAATGTGAACACGAGGGGGAAAACAGTCGGCTGTCCAGCCCTTTACAGAGTTTGTTTTGCAAGTTAGTGGTTGAAAGTGTGTGTTTGTGCGAGCGTACGTGCATTTCGGTGTGGACACACAGGATATCCTGCCCTGGAGCCTCTGGCAGACAAAGTGATAATATTGAGAAAGAAATCCTGACAGTGATAAAACAGTTTGTTCACTTCTGTGTGGGAACAAAGACAGACAGGCCGAAAAAAAGAAACAATAGTGACTTTTCTGAAGGATTTCCCGTCATGCCACAAGTTTTCTAAAAACACCTCAAATAATCCTTTCTTCTCCTCCTCAGGTGAACGGTGTGTCAGTGGAGGGGAAGACGCACTCACAGGTAGTGGCTGCCATTAAAGCCGGCGGGAGTGAGACCCGGCTGCTGGTGGTGGACCCCGACACAGACGCCTTTTTCAAGAGGTGCAGAGTGGCCCCCACCTTGGAGCACCTGACTGGTGAGAGGTCACACAGATAAGACGATTTCACCATCACTAAGAGGCAGGACAAGTTACGTTCCAGCAGCAATTGTGTGGCGAGGACGGGGTGAATGACTGCAATTAACTCGTAATGCTTCACTCCAAGGTCATTGCCAGTCAACAGCCGTAGTTATAGACGTGTTGTAGACACTAGTCGCAGTTTCATGGCTCTACTTTTTCCTCCTCCTTTATTTCTTTCTGTCTCTATTTCTCCCACTCTATCCTGCTTTCTTTCTCTGCCAAGAAACACAGATAGACAGGGAGACTGAGCCACATCCTGCCCCCACCTTATGTTGCTGTCCTGTGGAGAAAGTTAATCTTTCAGACATAAATAGATCAGATCAGACTGAGCAAGTGTTGTTTGTTACGTGTGAAAGTTTAAATACAGATCTGTTTCTCACAAAGGCTTTGATATATTACACTGCAAATATACCTGAAATTAATTATAAATCAGTAATGGGACAGCATGAGAAAACATTTTTAGAACAAGGTCAAATTAATGGCAATTGTCTGTCCCTTTCAACTGCATCTTGTGATTTCCATCATGTGATAAGAAGTAGTCATACATGGGTATATAAGTTTCAGGTTTAAGCTCAATAATTACATACATGACTGATTTAAGGGATTATCTTTTTGCCCTCTATCAACAAAGAGGCATGGTCATCCCAGGGGCTGGTTGGTGTTCAGCGCTTTGCTCAAGGGTCATGGTATATCTACCAAACCCCCCAGGGGGAGCCCTAGTACAGTCTGTGGTTTAATGCCTGTGTTTGAGAACCATCCCCATCAAACCCCAGCAGCTGATCTTCAGGCAGGTGGTGTGTATGCTTTCTCTGCTTTGCCAAATGTCTGACTCTGCACAGACATGGTGCTGTCTGCTGTTGGCACGGCAACAGCCGGGCTAAGTGGGGAACCCTCCGTATCCAAGAGAGAGCTGTTAGTCAACATAAGGACACTGATTCTTCTTATAATGATATTTGAGATATTACACTTGTTAGTGCTGATAGCTAACCCTACCCCGTGCTCCTTGTTCATTATCAATAAATTCAGTGTTCACTTAAGTGATCGTACCAATAAAAGAAGATAGAAATACTTGGTTACTAGTAAAAATTCCACTTATGTGAAAACACAGAAGAATTATCAGCAAACAAACTTAAAGTATGAAAAGTCAAGGTAGTGGTCGTGCAGTGAAAAGAATGTGCGGAATATTTTCTTGATTAATTGATTGATTTTGTTTATAAAATATGAGACAATGGTGAAAAATCCCTTGGATAATTTCCTACTGACGTAGGTGACGTCTTTACGTCTTATTCTGTCTCACCAACCGTCCAAAACCAAAACATATTCACGTTACATTCATGTGTGGCAAAGAAAAAGCATGGAACCATAAACGAATTACTGAAATGATATTTGACTGTCAAAATAATTGCTGATTAATTTTGAATGGATTAATTGACAAATTGGTGCAGCTCTAATTTGAACTACTTTATTTAAGGTTAGATCACAATTTAGGGGTCAGCTCCTAAGGGTCAAGAGATAAATGTGAGGGGTCGAGAAACTCAGGTTTTGAGAAATATTGGATAAATTGCCACCTACTGGCCTCGAACTAGAGAAGATAACTCATAGCCATCTGAAACATGACAAGAGACTCCAGGTAGTCACCACTGCAGATACATGTAGTGCAGTATAAAGTACAATATTTCCTGTGGCATGAAATGGAAATACTCAAGTAAAGTACCTTCACTGAATGAAACTGCAGATGTTTCATAATAATTTCCTGGACTTTTAAACCCTCTGGTGTTTCAGTGCAGGATTAAAAATAATAACGCCCGACAGGGGAGAGAGATTCCAGTGAGGTGTTTCCCAGGTAACTGCCTGCACTTCACATGCTGCCCACTCAGAGGGCACCTGCCTACACTGACTCTTAACTTCAACACACATTCACACTGATACACACACACACAGACACACTCTCTCTCTCTCAGCAGCCTGGCTGGCCAGCACCTTTGTTTGGTTTCCAAGGCGCTCGCTCCAAGTGGCCTCTCAGCCTGGAGCTGGAGCTGTATTAAGACCTGGAGAGGCTTCTCTCAGAGTCAGGGGCACAAACACACACACACACACAGCGAAGACCCGAGGAGGACTCGAATCTCAGATTAACTCTGAAGGACCAGCTGCTATCTACCATAATAGCTCATTATTAGCTAAAAACACTTTCCGGCTGAGGATCAGAAGGATGGAAGGTAAGGGACAGACCTTTGTGATGATGTCTGTCTGCAGCTGCCACCTGTCAGAGTCAGGTTTATGTAAAACATGCCTGCATGGGAACATCATTGAATTTTTACAAGAGACCAAACTGCAGATATCTTAATAGGTAAAAGGCCTGTGGCTTCATTGGAGGAGGGGAGGTAGAGAGGACCAAGAGGAGCATCTCATAGAAGATGAACCATGTATGAATAATAGATGATCCGCTCATACCTGTGCTATGTAATAGAGTAGGTGTTGGTGGAATGAAAGGTGAGCTGCAGAAAGACTCTTGATCTGTCAGAGTGGAGCTCTCTGCTCTGATGGTGTAGGACTGGAGGTATCATGACACAGTGAGGACCAGTAAGACACTGATGCCCACAGACAGAGAAAAGACAGAAAGAGTGTTTGTGTTTTTGGATCGTATGACTGATTCTTGTATCATCTTCATGCCTGCAGGTCCACTGCCAGAACCTGTCATTAATGGAGGAATGGAGGAAAAGGTAAGATTCACCAGCAGCAAAAATATCACTTCGGGGGGGGAATACAAGGTGACACTTTAAAGTGTGCAGCGCTATCATTTGGTTTGGAAATGTGCTTTAGAGCAAAGCCAGAAGTAGGATTTGAACTTTGAAGTGAGCGAGGAACTGTCGATCTCCAACAGCGGCCACTTCCCTCCTTACCGATGGAGCCTCTCCTTCCTGGCAGAGAGCAGGACAATAATAGTTCAGCCTTCTGCTTCAAACAGTCTGCAGCTCCTCGTGTGGCACAGACTGCAGCCCAGCGGGCCAAGGTCGAGCAGTGTTTGAAAGTAACATGCTGCGGTATTTTTTTTTTTTCAGGTGTGGTTTGCCACATAAAAGAACTGAGAGGCTGGTGAAGTGAGTTAGTAACCACAGAGACGTGGACTGATCAGACTTTTCCTGTCATTGTCTGAACGCTCTGGTCTTCATTGTATTGTGTGGTGTAGAAAACCCCACCCAGCTAGTATTCCATTAACTCCATAAAATGAATTATTTGAAAGGGTGTGACCAAAGACAGAGAGTATATAAAAAATAAGAATTATTCAGTATATGAAGTAGCTTAACCCACAATTCATTCTGTGGTGTGTTTTAAACCTAAAAGCTGCACTTACGAGCTGAGGCGTGGAGAATGTAGCAGCTTCATGTTAATCCTGTTGAAGTATTTGGGTGTAATCCAAAAAGAGACAGAATGATTACCACCACTGTAGGACGCAATGTTAAGCTTAGTTAAGTGGCTGCTGGCGTCACCTTCATATTTACTGTACGAACATGGGAATGATAACAACCTTCCCATCAAAAGAAAGGTTCTTTCTCAAAATGTCAAGCCATTCCCTTGAAATTCTGTACTGTAGAAAACTGTAAAACACACAGACTGTATCCCTGTGTGTGTTTGCTTACTTTCTACATCCTCCTTAGTTGTCAGTGGCATCACAGGAATGCTTTTTGAGGGTCTCTCAGGTTACCAGAGTGTCTTGTTCCTCAGTGAACACACTAGACTTTTATGTAAATCAGTGTTGATAAGACGTGATAATACCGGACGTGTATGAAGACCCCAGAACACAAACTAAAAGAAACTACTGTGTGCACTGTGGCTGCCTTCCACTCTTGGGCATCTGGCCAGATATGCAAAGTGACGCCTGACCCCAGCTTCCCGTTACTCAGGGGCTGAATGTGCAGCAGTGAAGTTACATGTTCCCTGTATTGTTGCGTAACAGACGCTGGTTAAAAGGTTGAAGAGCTGAGGGGGAGGAGGGATGGCGAGAGGCCGGGCAGCAGTCGTGTATGAGGTGAAAGATGTGGTTTTTAGAGGGTGTTCAAAGCCTCACCATGCTATCTTATCAGTTTATTCAAACTGCTACAAAACACAAGGAACAGAAAAATCATTGAATGATATGAAGAGTAAAACCAGGAAGAGTAGCAGGAAGAGTGTCTCAATACTTTCTCAAAACACAGTTTCCATTCCCTTTGCTGATTCAATGACCACCCCAATCATATTCACAGATGTACGAACTTCCATATACTACTGATTCACAGATCAACAAATGTGATATGTTAAACAGTAAAATTATTGAAAGACAAAAAGAAACTCAGAAATCAACATTAATTGCTTTTACACTTTACTTTAAGTTTTATATAGACTTCACTGAATATACTTTTATTAAACTAATCAGTTGTTAAAAAGTTGAGTTTGAAAAGCGCAGACCATTTCACTGGAGCCTGAAGTTACATTAAACTTGTGCTCAGTAGAAAAAACAACTTAAATCCAAGGCTGCCTCCCTGTGGAGAGATGTGGTACTGCACCAAGTCTGGGGAAAAAAGGATGATAGTTTCCCAGTGCACTTGTGCTTCAAATGTGTCTCCCATGCTGAACATTTCTAGATGGGCTCATGGTCTGGTGTCTATACATTTCCTAATCTGTCAGTGCGTGTAATGAAAGTGACGCTGATGAGTGTCTGTGTTCCCAGGTGAATGGCAGAGGGGCCAAAGAGGCAGAGAGGGACTCAAAGCTGTCAGTCAGTCCCTCTCCATCCAACGCCTCATCCAACACCTCGCTCACCATCCCGCCCACAAACACCCCACCTGAGGTACGTCGCAGAAACAAGTCACTAGTAACAATCTTAGTGCGATTTTCAAAAAACATAAGGTGCAACATGTTTTTCTTAAATTTTTTTTTGCTTTTCCTGTCCACCTGTTTTATCTTCTCCAGGGTTTGATCAAGGAAGCCATCCCAGCTCTCAACCTGAGTCTGCAGCAGGTCAAAGAGCTTGCCCACCAGAAACGCTCCAACAAAAGAGCTCCACCCATGGACTGGACCAAGAAAAATGAACTCTTCAGCAACCTATAGGGCATCTCAGATCACCTGCCACACACCCACACACACACAGATTTTTATTATAGTGACTTCTCAGAAAGAGACATGACATAAGAAAGACATTTTTTTATTATTATAATGACATTATAAGAGCAGTTTAACTATTGGCAGAAGACAAAATTCAGGCCGTTCTGTAAAATATAGTCTTCATATTACTCTTCATGTTATTATAACCCAGATATTATACGTATAATGTGCTACTAACAATGAAAGATGCATATGCCAATGAAAGAGAACTGGACCATGCTGAAAATGTGTATGTATGTGTGTATTTGGCTATTTTTGCCCTGTGAATATGTGGGCATGGTTTCCTTTGTGTGTGTGTGCGTGTGGACCCTTACAGTCTGATGCCTGTGGAAATGAGGAGGCGTAGATCTTCATGCTTCATTTAATAATCCGCTCCTCTTTATATTAACATTTATAGCATTGAAGTGTCGTCTGAATGACAGCAAGACAAGCCACATACTGTAAAACCAGCCTGACAATCCGTACTTCATTTAGCTCCAATTTACTCAGTTATCAGTTTAGGGATCAAACATCTGACACAGGACTGAGATATATTTACTTTTGGGTCATTGATACTTTTGGGTATGATCCTTTAAATAAGATATACACAACATGTTGCTTTCAAACATGAAACTCCTTTGGGAATCATTTTGTGATTTTCTTTTTAGGGAAATATTTACTGATGGCTTTAAACTGGAAAGAACTGTTATTTTAATGTGGATTATCTTATAAGGTATGTATATATCATATATTGTGTATATTTTTTCATTTGTCACATAAATGTCACTCTCTGAAATGAAAATGATTTCAGCTTAATCCTGTGTCGCTACAATGCCATCCACCATTCCTCCATACATTGTCTGAATATGTGATATCATCCTTTGAATAAATGTGAACTACATTTTATTATGAGTAACTTATACCGTCCTTATACTTTGCCATCATGTCCGCTGTGAATGGCTGCTCAGTTCACATTTTTTAGCATAATGGAAGATTTTTATTGCTCCTTGAAAATGCTTGGTGAAAGATTTTTACACATTTCTATTGATGTCTTAAAACAATAATTATGTAACTTTTAGATCACATATTTCCAAAAGAATGTATGTGCTTCACTAGATTTTATGTAGTTTGTCCAATATTGAGAAAAATGTGATGATTTTAAAACTGAATGATTGAATTGTATGAAGAGTTGTAGATTGTAATAAATCAGTCATCACAACAACATTATCCTGTGGTGTTGGTTTTTATTCAGATATGTGAAAATGAATGACAGTGATGCCTCATTTACATACAGTAACTTGCTTTTATCAGATATGCAGCATTGAATATGTGCACTATTCTGGTCATGCTGTATATCAGTTATCTACAGACTGATCTGATGTGAACACCCTGTGTACTTTACTGTGTGATTTTGCAGATAGTTTGCATTAAAGCAGCTATAATCAATATCTGTATGATACCAATGTACAACGTTTACCATTTGTAAGGTCACTTGCAATAATGAAACCAAGATCCAATTATTCAATTATTATACGACTCTGCAGTTCCCCCCAATTTTATGGCGCTTGATAGAATCTTTCATTTTCTAGCCTGCCACTGTTCTGGTTCACTCCCTCTGATTTCATAGTCATTTTCAGCCTCAGTAGGCAGCTGTTTACAGCAAAAATGAATGAAATGAATGATAATGACTCAAAATGAAAGATAATGTAGCTCTGTCTCTGCTCAATGTGTAAGTAAGCAACTTTTTGCTAACAAGTTTGGTAAGTCATTACTGACTCACTCTGCAATGCTCTCTGTGGGTCAAAATAGTTGACTCATCTGTCAAAGGCAAGGGCGTAGGTTTGGTGGAGACACAACAACCCCTCCAAAACAAAGAGATTGGCATTTTAATGCCGTCAACCAAAGGTTTTCTTAACATATAGGATATTTGTATTTGAAGTATAGCTTATATATATAAAAATAACATATGAAACCTTTCAGAAATTGGAACAATATCATATAGCCTGAAAAATATATGTAGCTTATATAAACATATAAGTCAGGCATAAAAATGCCAAAAAACGTCATAGTATAAGTCAGGCATAAAAATGTGAAAAAAACGTCATATTATACTAAGGCATAAAAATGTGAAAAAACGTCATAGTATAGTAAGGCATAAAAACGTGAAAAAAGTCATAGTATAAGTCAGGCATAAAAACGTAAAAAAACGTCATAGTATAGTAAGGCATAAAAACGTGAAAAAAGTCATAGTATAAGTCAGGCATAAAAACGTAAAAAAACGTCATACTATAGTAAGGCATAAAAACGTGAAAAAAGCCATAGTATAAGTCAGGCATAAATAGGTGAAAAAACGTCATAGTACAGTAAGGTATAAAAATGTGAAAAAACGTCATAGTGTAGTAAGGCATAAAAATATGAAAAAACGTCATAGTATAAGTCAGGCATAAATAGGTGAAAAAACGTCATAGTACAGTAAGGTATAAAAATGTGAAAAAACGTCATAGTGTAGTAAGGCATAAAAATATGAAAAAACGTCATAGTATAAGTCAGGCATAAATAGGTGAAAAAACGTCATAGTACAGTAAGGTATAAAAATGTGAAAAAACGTCATAGTGTAGTAAGGCATAAAAATATGAAAAAACGTCATAGTATAAGTCAGGCATAAATAGGTGAAAAAACGTCATAGTACAGTAAGGTATAAAAATGTGAAAAAACGTCATAGTGTAGTAAGGCATAAAAATATGAAAAAACGTCATAGTATAAGTCAGGCATAAATAGGTGAAAAAACGTCATAGTACAGTAAGGTATAAAAATGTGAAAAAACGTCATAGTGTAGTAAGGCATAAAAATATGAAAAAACGTCATAGTATAAGTCAGGCATAAATAGGTGAAAAAACGTCATAGTACAGTAAGGTATAAAAATGTGAAAAAACGTCATAGTGTAGTAAGGCATAAAAATATGAAAAAACGTCATAGTATAAGTCAGGCATAAATAGGTGAAAAAACGTCATAGTACAGTAAGGTATAAAAATGTGAAAAAACGTCATAGTGTAGTAAGGCATAAAAATATGAAAAAACGTCATAGTATAAGTCAGGCATAAATAGGTGAAAAAACGTCATAGTACAGTAAGGTATAAAAATGTGAAAAAACGTCATAGTGTAGTAAGGCATAAAAATATGAAAAAACGTCATAGTATAAGTCAGGCATAAATAGGTGAAAAAACGTCATAGTACAGTAAGGTATAAAAATGTGAAAAAACGTCATAGTGTAGTAAGGCATAAAAATATGAAAAAACGTCATAGTATAAGTCAGGCATAAATAGGTGAAAAAACGTCATAGTACAGTAAGGTATAAAAATGTGAAAAAACGTCATAGTGTAGTAAGGCATAAAAATATGAAAAAACGTCATAGTATAAGTCAGGCATAAATAGGTGAAAAAACGTCATAGTACAGTAAGGTATAAAAATGTGAAAAAACGTCATAGTGTAGTAAGGCATAAAAATATGAAAAAACGTCATAGTATAAGTCAGGCATAAATAGGTGAAAAAACGTCATAGTACAGTAAGGTATAAAAATGTGAAAAAACGTCATAGTGTAGTAAGGCATAAAAATATGAAAAAACGTCATAGTATAAGTCAGGCATAAATAGGTGAAAAAACGTCATAGTACAGTAAGGTATAAAAATGTGAAAAAACGTCATAGTGTAGTAAGGCATAAAAATATGAAAAAACGTCATAGTATAAGTCAGGCATAAATAGGTGAAAAAACGTCATAGTACAGTAAGGTATAAAAATGTGAAAAAACGTCATAGTGTAGTAAGGCATAAAAATATGAAAAAACGTCATAGTATAAGTCAGGCATAAATAGGTGAAAAAACGTCATAGTACAGTAAGGTATAAAAATGTGAAAAAACGTCATAGTGTAGTAAGGCATAAAAATATGAAAAAACGTCATAGTATAAGTCAGGCATAAATAGGTGAAAAAACGTCATAGTACAGTAAGGTATAAAAATGTGAAAAAACGTCATAGTGTAGTAAGGCATAAAAATATGAAAAAACGTCATAGTATAAGTCAGGCATAAATAGGTGAAAAAACGTCATAGTACAGTAAGGTATAAAAATGTGAAAAAACGTCATAGTGTAGTAAGGCATAAAAATATGAAAAAACGTCATAGTATAAGTCAGGCATAAATAGGTGAAAAAACGTCATAGTACAGTAAGGTATAAAAATGTGAAAAAACGTCATAGTGTAGTAAGGCATAAAAATATGAAAAAACGTCATAGTATAAGTCAGGCATAAATAGGTGAAAAAACGTCATAGTACAGTAAGGTATAAAAATGTGAAAAAACGTCATAGTGTAGTAAGGCATAAAAATATGAAAAAACGTCATAGTATAAGTCAGGCATAAAAATGCCAAAAAACGTAATAGTATAAGTCAGGCATAAATATGTGAAAAAACGTCATAGTACAGTAAGGTATAAAAATGTGAAAAAACGTCATATTATAGTAAGGCATAAAAATATGAAAAAACGTCATAGTACAGTAAGGTATAAAAATGTGAAAAAACGTCATAGTACAGTAAGGTATAAAAATGTGAAAAAACGTCATAGTACAGTAAGGTATAAAAATGTGAAAAAACGTCATAGTACAGTAAGGTATAAAAATGTGAAAAAACGTCATAGTACAGTAAGGTATAAAAATGTGAAAAAACATCATAGTATAGTAAGGCATAAAATCGTAAAGTAACGCCATAGTCATGTGCTCCTTCCATCTCCGTTTTAAAATTTGGGTTACAAACATTTTTATTCACTGGCCTTTAGCTCTCTAGCCTCCTAGTCCATTGTCATGTTCATATTGAGTATTTGCTTCTTTTTGTTTACTATATGTACTGTATACATTGTTGTACTATATACATTTTTTTTTTACCTCCTTATGTTATTTTATTTTAATTGCCCTTTGTCCAGCACTTTGTTCAGCTCAAGCTGTGTTTAAATGTGCTTTATAAATAAATTGACTTGACTTGACATGATGTGAGCCTTCAGATAGCCCCCGCCCTTTCAGTCAATCAAATGCTAGCATGCCTAAATTGGTTGTCCTGGAGATGAAGCCTCTTGGAGGGCACATTGGTATGATCTAATATGACTTCACTCCCAACATAGTGCGAACGAGTTCCCTCAAATATTGGTAGGGACAATTCTGTCCTCCCAAAATAGGGACATGCCCCTAAAGTCCATATGCAAACCTACGCCCTTGGTCAAAGGCAACAAATAGATTTGACTTTATTGATCTGTGTTCCAGAGATGCAACATGTTTTCATCCCATAGAGAATAGATGATGATTTGTACTTCAAACCACACCAGAAATACCTTGTTCAAAAAGGTGCATCTGCTAATTGTGTGTAAAAAATCCTTTGTATTTTTTTGCTGATGGTTCCATATCCATGAAATAAGAATCATTTGGACTAGGTATCTAATTTCATTAATCTGAACCCATTAATGTAAAATATGAATCTAGATACCAGCCTACTGGTTCCTTGCCAGGTAATTCCCTCACACAGTTTCTTTAACATCCATTTTGTCCCTCAATTTACTGACAAATTCTGTTATTTTAATACTTTTTTTCCAGGATCCCACTGTTTGCCCTCAGACTGTGTTGATATTTATTTGTCACAGGACTCACAGGAGTGTTGTGTGTGCATCTCTTCTGTCCCCCAACATGTCACTCTGTCTCCAGCGGCTGTCTCTTACTAATGGCCTCGATCTTTCTGCTCCTCAACTCTCCTTCTAGCCCTGCCATCATTATCACAGCTCACTGTCACACTCTGTACTGTTCACTCTCTGTCTTTGTGGGATAATTAACCTAATTGGACTTCATGACATTGATGGACAAGATGGGTGAAATTGGGTAAAATGGCAAAGAAAGATGATAATAATGATGATGGCTTTTGTAATTGGCTATAATGAGAATCTTGGTAAAGATGACAATAGTGTGAATATGATAACAGTATTAAGGATGATGATTAAAAATGGTTGTTATAATAACTGCAACTGTGATTGTAGAGATTATGATGATGGAACATCATCATTTTAATAAAGAGAAACTTACTCTTTGGGGGCAATTACACACCTTTATTACACAAGAAAGGAAAAGAATGTAATTATCTTTATTAATGCAGATATAAAGACACACGCTTGATTCAGACAAGAGAGGCATTAATTGATCC